GGGGGGGGGATCTCATTACTCCAAAATCACACAGTCTCAGTCAAAAAATCCGCATGTGACATTTGCCACTACGGCTGACTGATAATTAATTCTATTTAAACTACTCGATAACATCAGCCTTAAGTCTGAAGTCCTGGAGATTGACATAGCATTCAGCTGCATGATCCACGCATTAAGGTCTTCAGGTCTTCATTTGGACCAGGGCAGCTGCCAAGTCAACTCGACACCAGCCAGCCGTATGCAGACAAAGCAGGGCGTTGTCACAGACCTTGTTTTTTTGTGCGAGTGTGTGTGTGTGCCCTTTGTGTGTATGTGTGTTTGTGTGTGTGTTTGTGTGTGTGTGTGTGTGTGTGTGTGTGTGTGTGTGTGTGTGTATGTGGGGGTCGGGGTATGTGTGGAAGGGGGAGGATATTTCGGAGGGGGGCACAAGATAGGCAATATGAAATAAGTAAATAAAAGGACAAGTCGCGCTTTTGACCAACAGAGAGACCGGTTCGGTGATGAAAAAATATTAGACCAAACACATCAAGGACTGAACAAGAAAGTATTCCTAGGATCCTCAGCTTTTGATTATATGAAAATAAGTCTAAATAACTTCTTGCTCATGAAACAATATTATGTCTCATATAGTTTAGATCAGATCATGAGACCGATGTCTGTTTTGAAGTGGCACAGATTCAAAGGATCAAAATCTTGAGTATCTTGAGTAAAACCTAACTCGTTGAACAGCACATGACGACATCGCAAGGAAAAGCAGCTTCAAGCTCAAAGACGTTCTGGTTTTAAGTATAAAATACATCATCAAAATACTCACGAGAAGCTGCTGTCAATCACTTTAAGTAAAATACTCCCTATGGGTAATAGATGTAGTTTAATTTATAGTTTCATGACGGAAAATCTAAGGTTGTAATTATAAAGCTATAAAAAGCTTTCAATAAAGACAACAGAAAAGTTCTATTAATTGCCTCCGTGCTAGTGTCTGAGTAAACGTTGTAGAGTCTGTCCTTTCGGTTTGATTAAAAAATCCTATTCATTTACAGGATGGAATATGGTCGACTTTTGTAACTGATCATCTCATTCATTTCACAAAATCTGAAATATGACCCTTCTATATAAAGAAGGCCACTTTATATTTTTGAAACGTAAGAAAAATCTTAATGAAAACCAGTTACACCCTCCTCAATTAGCTAATTAGGTGCACATTCTTCGACGGAAATAAATACATAATTTCATAGCTTTTAAACTAACAAGCGGGTGAGGGGCTCAGGATAGAAAAGAAAAAAAAGAGAAAAAAATACCAGGGGAGGGGGGCACAGACAGACAGACAGACAGACAGACAGACAGACAGACAGACAGACAGACAGACA